TAGAAACTACGAGTACAGAGTGAACTTTGTATAAATACCGCGAGTTGTCGACGGACGGGCAGATTCGAATAAAGTGTTGGGCAGAAAAGATAAATTGTAAGAAATAAATTAGAATTATGAGTTATAATACTGCCAAAGTATTATATTAATTAATTAGTACTTCATAAATAAATTGTAAATAGTGTGTTTTAAATAAAGAAACTATAAGGTTCTAATTATTAACAGTGCTGTTTCTAAAGTGGCGCTGGAAAACAGTAACAAAGCCTGCACAGAACACGGGGTTAATGCCCTTAGTAGTCGATGCCGATGCAGGGGCCTGCGGTCCATGGAAGGGGGGGAAGCACCGCTTCACTACACTTTCAGATTTAAAAATAAATATTTTTCAGTTTACAATGCATAGAAATTAATATTAAATTAGGGTCTATATTTTCTCTGAAACATTACGTAAACTTCGTAAATGTACTAACAATTCATTGGTGTAATGTGTAAACGCACGCATCACCCATGAGAAAATTCCGTCGGCGGAAGCGCGTTTAGAAAAAGCCGGCTCATCTTCCAATTGATTTCGCTTCATATTATTGACCCTGTTTTGCAGCGAGAGTAGTCAGTCTGTTTGTACACGTGAAATACGGTCGAGAGGCAGCGATTATTACGTCGCCTTACGCATATTGCAATTCGCACCGCAAATCGGCGTGTGAGGAAAATCGTAGACTTCAGATAGATTTCGGTTTGTTTTTCGTAATTGTTTTTCTTTCTGTAAAATGGAGGAACTATGCACTGTGCCTGTGAACAATAATAATGTGTAAATTATGTGCTCTTTATTGAAGAAAGAATTTTCAAGTAGAAATTTTGAAGAGAAAACGGACATTAATAATTCTAGTAGACTAAAGGATCCTATCAATTTAGAGACGAAAGTAGAAAAGTCAGCAAAGAAATTTACCAGGCATTTTCACGTAGGGTTCTATGAAAAGTATGAATTGTTAACCGGCTGCAAAACTTTGAAGAAATTGTTTTGCTGGCCTTGCCTACTTATTAATATAGCCGAAGGGCTATGTACTTTTTATAGCAGTTCATATACAAAGTACCACTTACACCGTGCGTTGCGCATTAGTTTTTGTATCTGGTATATATGCACAACTAGTGAAGTTCCGGAATCCTCGAAATTATTTAATGTCAAATCGCACAGTATCTCTCCAAAAACACCAAAAATTGCAGCAATTTTCTGCATTAGATATATTTCATCCGGGGCTTCTGCGAGAAATTTTTTCGATTTGTTCCCTTGTGGCTTTTTCGGTCGATATCCTTCACCCTTTCACTTCAAAAAAGCTACAAGCTTGTAATATCTGCTTATGTCATGATTATGTTTATCATAGACTTTTAACATAGAATAATTCGACCAAAACGTTGACGATTTCCATATTTTGGACTTTTCTTCGAAGAATGCAAGAAGCACTTTTTCACTGGCCTCCTTGCCGCTGACATTTTTCTGATCACACCATTTCAAGAAACGATCGTATGAAAACTCGTACTGTTGCTTTGACTTACTAGGCAATAATTCAAAAACAGCTTTATGGGCAGCTTCTTTAATTTCCGGGGGTAGAAATTTATTTTCTTGATAACTTTCCATCGAGGAACGAAGAAATGAGAAAGAATAGTTCGTGATTTATTGACGTTAGTTGTCAACAAAGACCATAGCCCTCAGACAAAGACAAATCAACAAATTCGGTTTTTGTTTACCTTGGTAACTTGTTTCATGAATAGATTAGATGAAATTGAATTCAAAACTGATAATCTCGAGGCTATTATTTTATCAATTAATTAATGTAAAATAGGTATGCGTTAATTTGGACTTTTAATGGTGTTTGTAAAAAAAAATAAGTGTATGATATACGTGCTAAAAGTGATTTTTTTTATTGGTACCCTATTTTACTTATTTAAAGTACGCCTCAGCGTGTTTAAAATGAACTTTAAAAAACGCGCGTGTTTTAAAGTTACCATGGCAACATCAACAACCCGAGAAACGTGATGTCTAAATGCCAACTTTTTAAATATTGATCTGACAGGAGTGCCTTGTAATGTCAAATAAAATATTTCTGAGAAATTTTTCAAAAAAATTATTCAACACCTTCAAAAATAAATACGTAATGTCCGGTGCATCTGTAATAAACTTCCGCAAATCGTCTTCCTCGAATACATATGCCTTCTTGACTACCTCATTTTTGCTAATTGCCTTCATGAATGCATGCACTTTGACGAACGATTTTATATCGACCCCTTTGTTTATCTTCAACATACTTTGTACAGTTCATCAAATTTCTAGAGGCTTTCGACGGCTAGACAGAGAAAGCACTACTGACAGGCATCCCGACGGATTTACGCAATGAAAGTACACTCTGCGCATCAAGTATTTCACTATTTCATTCAGACGTAAATGTCAGATGTAAATTTCGCTAAAACATTTCTTTTATTTTCGTTTGTGTTTTTTTGCTCATTACAGTTTACTAGAACCTAAGTATGGAGTTTAATAGCAAATTAAGAGGCCGCGTGATTAACAGTCAATCTCGCGAAATAATAGCCAATGTTATAGAGTTTACGAGAAGAGAAGGAAACTTTAATTCACCTTCAATACCATGTAAAAATGTAAATGATCGTGTTGCTGCAGCCACAGGAGTATCTAAAAACACTGTCGTCCGCATTTCTGGAGAGAAAAAAAGAATCGATAACCGTGAGATATCGGAATTTTCATCACCAAGAAAAACCATTAAAAAACCAAAAACAGTTAATGATATAGATGAAGCTGCACAAGAATCAAATTTTATTTTTTTATTATTAGATAGCTATTTTTGTTTCTGAGTTGTGTTCATTTACAGGCTCAATTTTTTTCCGTTTCTCCTTTTTGATTTTATATGGGGTTTCAAGTTGTTTTTGACTTATTTCGACGTAAATCACAACAACACACTTTTTTAATAAAGCAAACAAGTGTTAAGAGGTATATGTACGTGTAAACTACAATTACAAAAAATTGATATGAAACCCATGAAACCACCAACAAAAATGTAAAGCTAGCTTCCGTACTAGAACATGGTGTCATTCGTCGAGATAATTTATCGTTTTGTTTAATAGATCAAGAAATGTAAATATTCCCCTGTTATTTTTTATAAAATTATAAGAGAAATAAATTTTTTTCTAAATAGTATAGTTTATTATTTTGTAGAAAAACAAAATTTCGAAAATTTTAGTAATGTTTCAGAAACAACCGTTATTAATAATAGGTACCATTTTCCTTAATAAGGTAGAAATAAAATATAAACTATTTCCACGATTTACAAAGGCCTACAAAAAAATTATAGGTATTTTCCGCTATCCTATAAAATTTATATTTTCTGACTCAATTTCAAAAGGTTGAAGGAATTCCAAAACACCTTTTATGGCATAATAATTATTTTCAATTCTACATACTATCTTTAGCTGCTTTTAAAAACGTTCTAAGAAAGTCCAATCAGACCAATTTAATCCCTAAACTATTCCACACTTTTAAAATTTAATTACCTAAAAATATTAAAAACTATTTAAAATAACTTGTTTAGCAGACTGTACAATAGCTATCTTAGTCACACGTAGCGCGTTCTCTGCCTGGGCGTCGAACACCTCTAGAAATTTGATGAACTGTAATTTTGAATGGATAGTCCACATAGTCGATACTTTATACTGTTTCGACATTTTCTGGAGATAAGCGAGAACAACTCGTTTATCTATATGTGTAACCATTTGCTCTTCCATCTACGTGTTAAATTTATCATATTCTTTTTTATAAATCCTTCGGATTTTTGTAGTATTAAGCGCGATTCTGCTTTATTATTTAAATACTCAATATTTGAACTTATTTTAAACAATAACAACTGTTGCGACAATTAATCTTACGTGACAGATTGAAAATAAATTTTTGTTTATCTCATTTTCATTACAACGAGGTATACTGATGTTACATCACAAATTCAACCATTTTCAGTTATTAGTTCTTATTTCCATTTTTTTGTAGAAATAATACCAATATTTAGGATTTCAAAGTATACCAATAAAAAAAATAGTGTAAAGTATATTCGTGGATAACTGGTCTTTAAAGCACTTGCTCTATTTCGAAAAATCGCGCGTGTTTTAAAGACCGTTACATCCACTTATACTTTAATATACTATTATTTTGCTTGAAGGGATGGCGGCGTGTTCCAAACTTCCATTCTTACAAAATAAAACATCACTTTTAGCACTTATATCATTAATAAGTATTTTTGAGCCACTACTCTTGTTGTTAATTACTTAAACATAATACTTCACTGCTGTAAATACTAAGTTAAGATTATATTTACACCTTCCATGAGACAGTGCTCGAAAGTTAAAAATTCAATTTTCTACAATTCAAAGTTTTTGCACATTCATCGTTCTTCCCGCCAGCTACTCATATATTTATGTATATCCTTAAAATAATGTGCGTGGTCGCACGTAAAATGCATTTACAAAGAATATAACTAGCACTTTAATGAATGTTTACTGGATTGTATGTTGTTAAAAACTTCTACCAAAATAGATGAATTTTACCAAAAATGAAATTTTACATCATTATCATTTTCAAAACGTAATATGGGTCAATAGTTAATAGAAAAACTAAACAATGAGGACGACACAAGAATTTTTTCTCAATTAGGTAAAATATTTAAAAATAAAATTATTTTATGGATCATGAGTGAATCAGGCACCTAAATCAGACAACCCGCTTTACACATAAATGTATAACGTGTTGCATTTGAATTTTAACTTCAATATTCATAGAAAAACAGAAATTTCTATTACCCAAGGAAGTTTTTTACCTCGTTTTGAGTTTATAATCCTAACACTTTAGATCTTCTTAAGATCATTTATCTTAAAGACAATTTATCTTAATAAAAGCAAAATTGTAGCTTATTTTTATATTTTTCTTTTATACCTAGTAAATAAAACTAATGGCATTAGAGTAACAAACAAGTCTTTAATATTGTTCTGTAAATAAATTCCACCACTATCAACAAAAAAAATCAATAAATTAAAATATCGAGAACTATTCTTAAAAAATTAACACATCTATCTCTGCTGCATCCTTTTCATTTTTCTCTCTAATTTTTTCTGTTTCTTCTCATTTACTTCGGGCTCACCTGTGTTTGGTTGTAGAAAATATGGCTGTAAAATGTTTTTCCATAAAATCCAACCGCCGCGAGCTGGGGCCAGTAACCACAAGTACCAAAAGTAGTTTGATATTAGAGATGAGAGAACTTGACATCCCGCAGTCAATATTATTATATCTTTTACATGCCTAAAATAATAAAACATTGACAGAGCCATCCAATATCATTGTTGTTGTTATATGTTCTACTGTATAATAATAATAATACATACTCTGCAATTCCTCCTTCCATATTGAGATCAACACCACTGTCAAGCAACTGACCAGTCTCTGAATATTTTGCTGTAGCCATGTATGCCATGAATTGATATGATCCTATATATATCATACACGAAAAGAGGTATAATATCTGAAAATTATTACACATTTAGTACCTCAATACCATTATAATTCATAGTTCTACTTACTATACTAATTGTAGAATTATAAAAATACAAAACCAGCAACGAAAAGGCATTAGAGAAAATAGCCATAGTTCTATAAAATTTAAGTGTAGATACATTTTCTTCGGCTATTTGTTTGGCCCCTTTGGTACCCTGTTTACCTTTCTGTGGAGGCTAAAAACCAAGAGAAAAATAAGGTAAACAATACAAAAAACTTCACAAATTTCACTCACAGCCATTTCTAATTATTCTGAATTAAAATACTATAAAAAAAGTGTGCATTCAATTCATGATACGAGATAGAAAGTAAATCTTTCAAAATTAGAGATTCCACGTTGGAACTTTTTCATTTTCTAATTAGAATTTTAAATGTTGACATTTTTAGAACCGCTGGCACCACACATGACACTTTTCTTAGGCATTTTTTGTCGTAACCAGGAAGATAACCAACCTAGAAGTTAAAAGACTATAAAATAATAATCGTGAGAAATGGCTCGAAAAATGACAGACAACTGTCAGTGTCATTTGTCACTGTCACTAATGCCAGATGTGTCATCACAGTTGTCATCTTCTGTTGATTTTTTGTACTTGCACAAAAATAAAAAATTATTTAATACAAATGTTTTTATCCAATATTTGTTAGCCGGTTAGGAATAATTTTGAAAAATGTCTGATATTTTTAAAGTTGGTAAGCGGGTTGAGGTATCGGCAAAGGGAGTGCAAGGAGTAATTGCTTTTATAGGCAAGACTGGCTTTGCCCAAGGAACTTGGATTGGTTTGATATTAGACGAACCAAAAGGAAAAAATAATGGATCTGTAAAAGGACAAGAATATTTTAAGGTATAATATTGTAATTGCTGTAAAACCTTTGAAATTAAAATTGTTTTTAGTGCGAAGAGAACCATGGAATGTTCGTTAAAGAAAGCCAAGTGCTACCTCTTGATGAACATGGTAAACCCATGCAAATACAAACTCCCAGCAAAGAGTTACCTCCTTCAAAAATTGCTAGAAGTCGACAGAGTGTGTAAGTATTTTAAATGTTTTATTACATGTTTGTAAAAAATATATATGACCACAATACAAAAGAAATATAATTTCTATAGGGCTTAAAGATTTATTTATATATATTTTTGTTTGCTGAATCCTCAGGACCCCGAACGTTAAGCCTAAACCTACCACGTAAGTAAAATCTCTTTGGAATATCTTTTAATTGTGAAAAATTTACTTTTATTTTTACATTTTCAATAAATCAAATTTTTTTTTACCAATGTTGAGGGGCCTGGCAAATATATAAATATCTGCTAGACCCAATGATCTAGCTATAAAACTCTGGAGTATTTTCATGTCCATGCTAGAATTTAAAAACAGAATTCACCCTTTTATTTTTTAATAATATTTTCATTCTCCCTAAAAAAGCATTCGGAGAAAAGCATCATCTCAAGGCCCAACATTGTCTGCTTCAAGGTATTGTATTGCTATTATTTTTATGGTTCACCTAGTAAACATTTTAGAAAACTGATTCTCTTTATTTTTGTGCTTGTTTTATAAAAAAGAAAATGCTTTTTGTTAGGTGAAATTATGTTATACAGAGTTGCGCAAAAGTCTGGAATAAAATTATCTGTTCAACCAGTAACTTAAAAAAAAAAAATGCTGAAACAGGTGAATTGATTTTACATTGGGAGTATTTGTTGCCAATAAAATGAATTTTTTCTTCAAACCCTTAGCTGCAACCCTATCCAACTTTTTTTTCATATGCAAAGATATGTCACATAAGTAAAAGAAAAAAAAAGGTTATGGTGCGATAATAATTTTTAATGAGCTTTTCAATGACCATACACACAACATACCTTCTTATTTGAAAAAAAAAGTTGGGTAGAGTTGCAGCTAAGGGACTGAAGAAAAAAAAATCATTTAAGTTACTGGTTGAACAGATAATAATTTTATTACGGACTTTCGCACAACTCTGTATGTTCAAGTCCTTGCAAAAATAAAACTATACTCATTATCACCAACAAAACTGCATAATGTTTGTCTCATTTATTTGAATTCCTCTTTGCATACAACTGTGCCTTGATAGGGCATATTTATGGGTGTTAACAAGTTTCAGTAATTTTATTTTGCAGTTACATATATGACTGTGTTAGACAAAAAATGGAAAAATAATTACACTCTTCAGTGCTTGTTTTTCCTATCTGGCATGTGGTTATAATGTAAAAGGATAAAATTGGCATATGATTGGCTGTGCTTAATGTAGAACTTGGTGGTATGTGGCCCTTAATATATGGCTAAACTGGACAGGAAAAAATAAGTATTAGATATTTGATTTAATGAAGAAAAGCTTCATGTAATTATCCTTCTGTGGTCAAAACGTTTTCGAATAAAATATCACCAATGAACTTTAAAATGGTAACTTTTTCATTGTAGTGACGCCATTACGTTTGCAGGGACTTAAGGAACAGCACTGTTATAAAAAAACTCTTACTAAATTACTTTTTTTTAAGTTGCACAAATTGTATGTAATATATAACTATTTATCATGGTTCACTTTTTTTGCAGTGGGGTAAGTAGTATAAAATAAATTCAAAGGTCAATTTTAAAATATAATTATGTTAATTATGCACTATTAACAGGGCATAAATATTTTTATATTTTATTTTTAATTAGTAAATTACTATTAAACAAAATATTAATTGTAAGAACAGTTAAATATTTGAATTAGAAAAACCTATTAATAATAAATTCTGAACCGTAATTATCATCATTATAATAATGACCAATATTTAATAATTATTTTCTAAAGTCTAAATAATCAATTGATTAAAATCTACGGAATGAACACAATTTCAAAGTATGATTTTTTACGTTTTAATCAGTAACATAAAATTTATTATTTTTAATTTTATTAAGGTTTAGGTATACGATTTACTAATTCATGTAAAAACAAATAATAGCTTTGGACACACACACACACAGACCCATAACCCTCAATGTTTTGGATTATTTTATTAAATTTTCTCTTTATTTGTAATTTTTGTAGGTAACTAATAGCAAGTAAATTATATTGCTTCGAATATTGGGGCCTACATAATATAGCTTAAATGATTCTACAAAAAAAATTTTGAATACAAATTTTTCGAATCTTTAAATTTACGAAAAGTAACATTTTTGAACACTAATTGTTCGAAATAAGATATACCGAATCACTCAATTTTCAAAAAGTAAACTTCTGAACTAGCAAACTTTATATTTCATCGTGATCCATAGTTGCCTTAAAAGTGAAACCGATATTTTTAAGTTGAATGTTTCCCTAGCTTTAAATTTTTGTAGGAAGCTGTCCAGTAAGTTTTTGACTTATGTTTTATTCTTTTATACTTTATTCCCTTTTCAGTGCAGAAATGTTATATTTTTTATATGGCTCCAGGCAGCACAGGTTAGGTATATTAGTTAAGTTTTCTCATATATCTATTTTTTTTAATATAGTTTACATCTAGATTCAACCATTTAAGTTGTCAGAGAGGTTGGAAGCGAGATTGGTGTGAATTCACATGCAATGACTCCTCTGGTCACATCATGGATGTGTAGTGGCTGGACGGTTACCGACCTTAACTGATTAGCAGTTAATCATCGACGACGTGGACTGAATAACAATGAATGTATGATGAAAGGGGAGGAGTAGAGCATCCAAATTGTGGCCGAATAAGCTCCCTGCGCTTTAGTGTCGCTATGCGAACTCCAAGAGGAGGGAAAGCAGGCTGGACCCCAAGCTGGAACCCCTCAAGGGGAATCATATAGATGCTTGAAAGGTTGAAAAAACATCTGAGTTCATGTGCAGGATTAGAGCACCCACATTCTGATAATAGTATCAGGTACTTTACCATCTCAGTTCATGTCCATTTCATGTACCTACACTATACAGATAGTGCTGGTAGTTTACTTTGATAATGAGCTACAATAGTTTTACTTTCTAAATAGTCCTTCATCTACAAAGTGTTTTAGAAAAATGTCGAGGTTCAGATGCTGCAATAATTTGATACTTGCCATTTAGGCCAATATTTTTAGTTGGATATCGCATAATTTTATTTCGAAAAAAATTATTTACTATATAATAATATATTTTTTCTAAAAATGAATCTTTCGAAAAATTGTGTGTTGAGAAATTAGTATTTTAAAATTTGAAGATTTGAAAAATTATATTTTGAAAGTTTTTCTTGGAATTTGCTTAAATGGGGCTTAACATCTGGTACAAATTGATAGTAACGACAGTTTTACTTTCATCAGTTACCTACAGGTAAAATTTGTGTTAAAAAAAATAAGTTAGAATACTTCATTGTTTTGAATTTGGATATTGTCCTACAAAAAAACAAAGATAAGACACGTCCGTGTCAAGAACTGAATAAAAGTAAATTACAAACTTTTAAACTGAAATTGTGTAATTTTAACAGCATTGTGACTAGATACCTACAAATTTTTCCTTAACACAAATGTTTACCAAGTATATATAATTTTAATAGGTAATTAAAGAGACAAAATAGAACAAAAATCTTATAATATAGTTTTGGCTGTGTTTCTAGTTAATATAATGTGTATAATAATGGTTAGGTATTTTAAACATCTATTAAACCTTTGTTCTTAGACGTACATATATTATTAGTAAAAGTGTAAAGTGATAATTAAAATTCGTCATAAACGTTTCTCATAATTTTGTAGTTGACAGAATACATAGACATGTAAGCAATGATGCCAAGTTAGTTTTTTAAAGGCCCTTGGTTCAAACAGAATCAAGTCAAAGCTGGTCTGGTATTGCATTGGAATACTTATTGATCTGGCAACCCATAATAAAGTAGAATTAGACATCTATATGCACAGAATAATGAGAGAAACAAACAACAGGCATATTCAAGTGTTGATCTAACATAGACAGAGGATATGGTTATCAAAGCTGCAATTCGAAGTGAGCTGTTGGTTGATATTGACCATGTAATTGTAGTATTGATTAGATAATATTTTGCAAAAAACACGCAAATACTTGCTTATAAAACAGTCATGATGCCAAGTTATGCTTCAAGTCTAAGTTTAAGGCCCAATTTTTGCTCCATTAATCACCTATTAAAATTATGCAAGTGTTATCCCTAACGCTATCTATATTCGATCGTTTAAGTCAAACACGAGTTGTCTTCACAAATATTGCTAAACGATGTATTTTCCCAGTTCGCGAATGTCATTGGCGAGCAGTAGACAATCGTTGGCGGGCAGCAGACAATCGTTGTCTGGCAGCAGACAATCATTAACTGGTAGCCGAACTCAACTGGAATCTCCTTCTGTTGATAAACAGTTAGATCTGAACGAGTCCGTGAGTCAAGTACCGAAAAGGGCTTCATTCGTTGAGGTAGGTTCTCAAAGTTACTGACGATACTTTTTCATAAACTTATACATATAGTATGGTGCATTTGAAAGGAATAAATTCATTTTTATTATTTCAATCTTGATAAGAACCACTTTATTTTTTAAATCGAGACAGAAACTAACATTTAATTTCCAGTGACGACCTTGACAATGGGCAGAAATGTAAGGGACATTGCCTCACTCCCAGTAACGATAAGTTATATGCCAATTGAAAGATATTTTTAAGGGGGACATTTGTTTTCGTTACAACTCTTCTCAGTTACTTGTCCGTTCCGCGTTATATCATCCTAAATGTAAGTAATTACATGATAGGCCAGTGCTTATATTCTGTTATTGTAGTGCTTATTACAGGCAAATACTAATAATTATTATTTATTAGTAGTGTTGGGGATGGTCAATTGACCGGTTAAATTCGGTCAAAATATCTAAGATAACCAAAGGTAACATACCAAGACCTTAATAATAATCAGCTATTTTTGTTGAATCTAAATCTCGAGAATATACTATTAGTACGGTTTTGATCGCTGAAGTAATAGGTGAGATATTCTGAGAAATTTGTCGTGGTGAACAGAATACACCAATGCAAGTAATTATGTAAGTATATGAAAATATTTTATTTTTTACTTTTTTTACAAAAATCAATTGTTACGAAGTGTGTTCGTAGGTAAATATTAATCCTAGACATATATTTAATGAACTGATTTTTTTAGGTATCGAGTAAAAATCCGAAAATATTGACCCAAAATGAATTGGAGACCCTGGCCCAGGTTATATGTGATACGGATTCGGAAGAGGAAGTTGGAAGGAAAGGTATCTGATGAAAGTGAAGGTATAAAAGAAAAATACTTCGAATTTCGAACAAGAAATAAGCGAACAAGAAGAAAAAGGAGAAGTGGAAGATGATCAAAATTCTGACTCTCGGTACTAGTGGCGAAGTAAGAACGTCAGTATGTTGGAAAAGATAAAAAACTACTAGGTATAAAAACTACCCTATAAATAAATCTAATAAGCCCAAAATAAAAAATATAATAAAAACTCTACCAGGGCCAAAGCAATGCGCACGTGATATAACAGATGAGATAAGTACTTTCTCAAAAATTTTTGATGATGAAATGATCGAACACATTATTCAATGTACTAATTTGGAAATTTCAAGAGTTCAGCCAAATTTTAATCGAGCACGAGACGCGAAGAACGTTGCATTAACGGAAATACAAGCTTTTATAGGCTTAAGAATTTTATCTGGAACTAAGAAGCAAAACCACACTTATTTTCTGGAATTATGGACAAAAGATGGAACCGGATTAGAAATATTTTGAGCTACCATGAACTATCAAAGGTTTCTTTTTTTGCTTGCAAACAAATTTGATGACAAAAGAACAAGGAATAACAGGAAAAAACATAAGTTGGACGCAGTGCGCTTTATTTTGGTGAAATTTGTAAATAATTGCAAGAAACTACTCTATTGGCGACTTTATGACAATAGACGAAATGTTGATTTCATTTAGAGGGCGGTGCAGCTTTGTCCAATACGTACCAAACATATCCGCCAAATATGGGTTGAAAGTGTTTGTACTTTGTGACGCTAAAACCTTTTATGTGAGTAATTTAGAGGTGTACTGTGGAAAACAACCAAACTGCCCACATGACCAATCAAATACAGCAACTGTCATAGTGCACCGCTTGTTGGAAGAACAGAAAGGAGGCAACCGGAATTTAACTTGCGATAATAGGTATTCAAGTTACCCTTTGGCATTGGAACTCTTGAACGACAAAATAACATTTATTGGAACCCGAAAAAAAAAATATGGGAGCTGCCGATGAAGTTTTTCCAAATAAAAAGAGATTGGTTGGATCATTCATTGTTGGATTCTAAAAGAATGTGACTATAGTTGCAAATGTGAAAAAAAAATGCGTTGTTTTGATTTCAACTATGCACGACGACTCTGCAATCGACCCAGATATCAACAAACCTCAAATTATTTTAGACTATAATGCCACAAAGGGGGGTGTGGATACAGTCGACAAAATGTGCAATACCTATTCTGTTGGACGAAGAACAAAAAGATGGCCCTTGGATTTTTTCTTTCAGTTGCTAAATATAGCGGGCATCAATAGTCAAATTTTATATAACGCAACTCACCCAAATTATCCTTACAAATATAAAATACTTTTTCTAAAAACACTCTCTGTCATTGACGAGAACTCCTCTTTCTGAAAGAGCCGCAATCTCTACTTTACCGTTAGATATCCGACATTTTCTATAGATATAGAGAATATCAAGCAGACACAGACGAAGAGCCACCCAGAAAAATTCGAGGTAGATGTTTCATCTGTGGTAGAAAAAAGAATAGAGTTACTACAATTACATGCAGCACTTGTCATCAATTAATGTGTAAAGAACACAGCAACAATGTAACTACATAGCGTAAAAAAAAGTGCGCGAGTAATTAAAGGTTAATGTCATTTTGATGAGACATAATTTTTGGCATTAATATAATCTCTAGAGAAATAGTCGCTGTAACTTGGTCCAGGGAGATAGTCAAAAATATTGTAGCATTTTTGAACTGAAAGCACTGACACTGATTTATGGCGCACTCACTGCATCATTATTCTGCTTTCAAATTGCACTAGCACCGACGTTAAAATGTTAATGTTCAATCAGCTGATTAAAATGTTTTTTGATTCGGATTAAGTGTAAATATAAATATATTAAAATTTTATTTAAATGTGAAAATAAAATATTGATTTTTATTTGTTTTATTGTATTTTTTAATTTAAGTCAATTGACAAAAAAAATAATTGATTGGTCAAATCCACAACCCTACTTCTTAGTAATATAAAAACAATTATTATTGTATCCACCGCGTATAGCCCTTACCAAAGGTCCTCTACGTGTTAGTTACACGGCCCCACGTATGCCCTCTAAACTCTAAAGGACTGGGTCAAATGGCCCGAAGCCAAGGTAATGAACAACAATCATATGCCGCGTTTGAATATCCACATCCGATTCATTTTTTACATCTCGAGCGTTTGTTTATCCACATCGGACATATCTATCCTATTACATTTACGTATACTGAATCAAGTGATCAAAGATTTACAACATCTCAGATGCATCCGATGTGGATATTCAAACGCGGCAATAAATAGTATTACCCCAGTTACATTAGAACGAATATAGCCATTTGTAACACATACAGGGTGGGGCATCCTTAAGTGAAAATTGAATCATCTATAATAATTAAAAACAAACAGCAACGTCATCACACATACAAAAGATCAGGTGGTCACTGGATGAAGTCGTACGTGCCTGCAGCAAAGCGATACTTGATTGCAATTATTAAAATATTTTTAGAACCCACTAGCAAATAAACTTTCGGAGTTAAAACAAATGGTTTCCAACATAAAAAATAAAACCTGTGATATCTAGTGTGATATAACTCAGAACGAGCAGATTATTAAGAGAAGTCATAATAAAAATAAATGTTTGCCTTACCGATATCTTTTATTTGGCATATATCTTAATCCTATTGGGGGTGGGGCAAAATTCCTTTACTTTTGTGTATTTACAGAGAATCGAAAATGAATACTTGAAAAGTTGTTAATTTTATATTTTTGTTCGACAGTTAACAACCCCATAATTACTTAAAATTATTGATATGGTTGGATAGATAATTAAAAGACCTTTAAAATGATGATTCGCATGAACCACATTTCTATTTAAAAAATCCTCGATGACGTCATCACCCTCACACAAATGACGTCACGAATAACGAGCGTTTGAAATCAACGAGTACGAATTAATAAATTTATTCCTTTCAAATTGACGCCACTGCTTCAAATAATAAAAATGACATGTCACAGTACATAACCTCTATAACAGGTTAATTAATATTTAAACGATATTAATTAATATTAGGCATTCAAAACAAAATGGGTGTCGGTGGGAAGAGTTGGTATGTATACCTAAGGGGTTGCAACATTCGATGTATTCTATCTACAACACGTACAATCATGAATAATGGATTAAATTGGAATATTCCATATCGAACATGAAAATGTTTAAAAAAAATATACGCTTATATATATATTTTTCATAAATTGACAGGCTTGGTGGCTACTATTTCGAATAAAAATAGTATCCAAGATGGAAAACTGTGTCGCAACCCCCTTAGATATACGAGCCTATCCCACCGGCAGCTATTTTGTCGACAGGTCAAATTTGACATGACTGTTTTTAGTTTTTTTCAATATTGTCTGCAGGTTTTAAAAAATAGTTTCAAGGTACGTAATTCTTGACTAAATGATTATATACTTGATGCCAGTTATCTAATTACTTTAGGAATATATTTTAAAAAGTTCTTAACTGTTTAATTTAGGTGAACAAACCGAACAAAACGCACTTAAAAAGTCTACGCTAGTTCAATGATGATGTAATTATGGTTCCACTGACAATTAAAGTGAGTAGATTTTTTGAGTGCGTTTTGTTCGTTTTGTTTACCTAAATTATATCGTTTTTTCACTTTTATAAATATATTCCTAAAGTAAGTAGATAACATCAAATATACAATCGTTTAGTTACCAATTACATACCTTTAAACTATTTTTATGACCTGTAAACAATATTTAGAAATAAACTAAAAGTAAAAAACGTAAATGGCAAATTTATTGATGTTTTTGTTAAAAGTTTGGTTAGAATTAAATGTCAGTGGAACCAAAATGACATCATACCGAACTAGCGTATTGCATCATCAATAAATTAGTGCTTTAGACATTTCAACGACCTGTCAAACAATTGCTGCCGGTAGGAAGGACTCATATTTCTAAGGGGGTGGCGACATAGCCTTCGATCTTGAACGCTATTTTTATTCGAAATAATAGTCGCCAAGCCTGCTACTTTTAAAAAATTGTATAAGCGGTTTTATTTAAATATTTTTATTGTGTTCGACATGAAATATTTAAATTTAATCCATTCATTATTCATGATTTCTCGTGTTGTAGACAGAATACATCGAATGTCGCAGCCCCTTAGATATACAAACCCTTCCCACAGACAACCATTTTATTTGGAATGCCTTATTACGCATTTCAATGATGTTTTGGTTAGAAGTTAACTGTCAGTTGAACCATTATTGCGTCACACTAATATGGCGTATTATACACAGTGAAATGTATTAAATTTCCATGGCCACCCTGGATTTATAAAGAAACTGAACGGCATATAGCCAACTGATTCATCATGATGTTTTGAATTAAAATCGTTTTTCAGACGGGATTTGTAGAAACCCTCAAACCCCAATTCACGGCGGGCCACGCCATGATTACTACGCCAACTCCAGTGACCTCAATGGATGAGAAGATCAGTAATCTACAGATGCAACAAGAGCTGGAAAATAGATCGCAACAGATTGCGGATCTGGGAGAAAAATTGGAAACGTTGAAAATTAAAAGACAGGAAGACAAAGAAAGACTTAAGAATTACGATAAATTGAAAATACAGGTGTGTATAAATAATAATTCCTTGTTATTTTTTAAATGTATCTTTGCTTATAAGAGCCCTGTATTTCTCAGAAATAACCATCTTTCGATACGGCACGTATTGAGACGTCTAACTTCGTTTGACAGACTGCGATTCTTATATAATGTCTCTCTCTATTAGATACATAACGTGTCGAGTTCGCACATAAGAATCCCTGTGCAGATTCCGAACGTAGGTTAATAATGACAAATGACAAGTAACATGCAGTGTCATTTGTTGAGATTATAGAACTCGCTTTGTCAAATTTGGACGTTACATTAGCCATTATACTATTATTGCTGAGTTTGAATATCCACATCTGTTGCATTTTTTACATCTTGAGCGTTTGTTTATACACATCAAATACATCTGTCCTATAGCAGGGGTAGAAGTTGGAAAGGCTTTTGCCAGTTCTTCCACTTTAAAATTACTTATTCTATGAAACGACACTGGCAGGTTAACATTATTGCAAAATTCTCGAAGCTGCCCGACGTGGTTTGACGTTTACCCCCTCTCTACCGACCAAAAGCCTTTCCAACTTCTACTTGTGCTATACTGCATTTGCGTATATTGAATCACGTGATCAAAGATTCACAACATCTCGGATGCGTCCGATGTGGATATTCAAATACAGCATATATACTTACTAATAAGTGTTTCGTCAAATTTCTATTTTAGAGCCAATAAAAATTAACCTATAAATTAAATGTCAAAATGTCTTTCCTTATTAAAAAAACGATTTAACGTTAATGCGTTTCAACAACCAGTTAACTTTTTAGGGCTTTAGTTATGTGATTTCAAGGTTAACCAAGGGTATAATGGAAGTATTTTCTGGTTCATCGCTTTAAAACGGATTTATTTTTAAGTGTCTGTTTGGTTTTAATTCAGGGCCGTGCGTAGTTATAACTTGCATCTATTACTTTGTCGGTCATATGAGTAGTCCACTTTTTTTGTGGACCACCCTTTAGTATTTACTTGTGCTTCGCTATTAAATTTTTATTATATGTTTGTCAATGCTCGAAAATAAAAAGAATAAACAAAAATATTCTTTATAGGTACCTTACTGTATATTTTATTGAAATAATGAAATGTTTTTGCGTCATGTTTTTTACATCTATTTTTTACCTATTATTTTCGCTTTTTTTGTTTAAGTCTTAGTCATTAATTAAATCATTAATAAATAATACGTTTATTTTAAATTGTCAGTGTCGCTTATGAAGGTTTTTAAATTATTATGGGAGCTATTGTTTCATATTTGGTGTTATCGGAATTTGTTAGAAATGAACGGTTTTATGATTCGTTTTCCTATACACGAATTTTCGTTTGGATATTACGTTTTTTTCAAATACCTGTGAGTTATTGTTCAAAATTCAATGCTCCTTGTAATGCCAGAGTTTTGAAATCGTCATATTCATGTAAAGTTTGACGTTTTTAACCTATAATTTAGTTGACAGTTCGATTTTAAACCGAACAATTCCGAAGATTAGTCAATCAATTATTAATTGCGTTAAAAATGGAAATTTCGAATCGTGATTTTCAAATGATGATTTTTTATGATTTTCGATGCGGCTTAACACCGCAGTAATAAGTGGGAAAACTGTGTTTATTGTCCTTAAGACATTTAGAAAAATGTATTGGACAAGCCATAAAGCATAAATTCTAAATTTATAGTGTTTATTATCCGTAGGATATTACCAAAAATGTATTGGATCAGTCATACATAAACCATAAATGCTAAATATAAGACTAATAATAAAACTATTCCCAAATAAGTATACAGGGTGTTTTAAAAAACATGTGCCATCGCTTGTGGGGTCATTTCTTAACCAAAAATAAGATAGATAAATTACGCTGCAGATGAAGTGGGACAGTCAAAAATTGCCTAATTTTGACTAGCTATTACTTCGACATTTCTTTGCCGATGTTGGATTTTCAGCCAGAGGTGCAAAGCACCATCCTTGCTGTTTTCGTCAGTGGCGTTAATTTTTTTTTAATCCCTTCTTGTTGTACCGGGTGTGAATGTAAGGCAAAGAATTTGGAAAATGTTGGGGTTCCAAATTAAGTTCTTTCTTATGTTGAGTGGATCACTAGGTCGACACCTCGGGATATCTTTGCCATTTTTTTAATACTTTGCGTTGCTATGGAAATATCGCTATTTTATGAAATTACGTTTTTCTTTTAAAATTAGCCTTTCTTTATTTAAAGAATAACAGATACCGACTAAACTGAATCAAGGAATAACGTGTAAAGAAAATGGTTAACACCAGCTGCGTTTATGGGTTTTATGAAATTAAAAAAACGAAAACTTGATTTTATTTGACATTTTTAACACTTTTCTTATAACGGATTCGACTGGCTGCATTAATGCGCATTTAGTTCGACTTTTTTAAGTGGCGTCTGTTCGACTGGCAGAACTTAATTAATTAAAAGTCAATTATTGCATTCGACTCAAATTGCTCGGTACCAAGGCATATAGTCCAGTCATTTAAGCTTAAATTAGGTAAGAATCTCGGAACTGGAGATACCCAGCTGTAAGTCTGTAAATACTTGTATATTGACACGCTAAAAGTTATCTCAAAACCTACATATGGCAGGGTGTACGCAACTATTAAATTTCAAGGTCAAATGTCACAAAAATCGGTTTTTTGCGCTTTTTTGTAAATATCTCATTTTTTATGGGTTTTTTGCTATTTGTATTTATTATCAATATTGTAGAATACAAAATTCTCTACAAATTTTGTTTAAAAAAATTCAGATTACAGTAAGAACGTAGAAGCTATGGAGCAGCAGAGAAGATGAAACAATAGTTGTACCAGTTACTCAAGAAAAATTCTTATCAAATCGAAATAACAAAGATATGCTCATTAATATGTTAATTGAAAAATTACAAGCTGCAAATATTACTACTAAACAAGCCAGAGATAATGCTGATGTTCTTATTGTTGAAACTGCAATTGAAGAATCAAATTCTGAAAGAACTGCAGTTATAATAGGACAAGATATTGATTTACTTGTCATTTTAATTGGGCGTACACTGTCTTACGAACAAGACATTTTCTTTAAAAAAGTTGGGAAAGGAAATGTAAAAACGGGGATATACTTGACTAAAAGTTTTGATAATTATCCTCATTCCAAAACACATATTTTATTTCTGCACGCATTAAGTGGCTGTGACACAACTTCTGCGCTTTTTAAAAAGGGAAAAAATCATTTTTTAAAGTTTTTGAGAAACTGACAAATTTGAATGAACTAGCTGCAGCATTTGAGAAAGAAAATTGTTCGGCCCAGAGATTATTAGAGAGTGGAACTCAAATCTTATTAGCAGTCTATAATGCTCCGAAATCTGTGAAAAGTCTCGATCATCTTCGTTATATGCATTACGTCAAGTCTACAAAACTTAATTAACCTGTGCAGCTTTCAAATATTCCACCAACAAAAGCAGCTGCTCATCAACCTTTCAAACGTGTATATTATTAAGTTCAAACTTGGTTAAGGCATGATTTGGAACCCCAGGTATGGAGTTGGGCAATGCGAAACGATTTTCTGGAGCCTATCATGACAATTTTACCACCTGCTCCAGAAGATTTGCTAAATACAATTTTCTGCAACTGCAAGAGTGGTTGTGGTTCGCGATGCGGATGCAGGAAAGCGGGCTTGCAATGCTCTTTAGCTTGTGGCCAATGTAATGGGCAAGCTTGTCTCAATGCTCTACCATATCAGAGCGACATTAACGAAGATGGAACCTTTGACCCCGAAATCATGGAAGAACTTGAGAGAAATGTCGTTGAAGACGATAATGAAGACCAGTTTGAAATTTACCAGCAGCCGGAAGACGACGATGAAGAGGAAGAAGATTATTAAAATTATAAATTGTAGTTTTTGTACCTTTTATTCCATTTTTTTACTTTTAATAAAAATAAATGTATTGAATGAAATTTTTTAATAAAAAGATTAATTCATAATTTATTTGTTTTTTTTTTTTTTCATCATGTAAGAATTTATTAATATTAATTAGGTTAAAATTCAAATATAATTCCTATATTTTCATTAACAATTTTGCAATTACATGGGCAGGTAAGTGTTGTTAAATAAATTAATACTAAATAAAAAGTGGATAGGTTAGGAAAAAAAATGATAAAATATAATATAATAGTTAATAAAAATTGACAAATATTTATAATCATTGATTTATCGATATTTCATCAACTATATATGGCGCGTTTTCGACCGGAGGCACCGGTTGACCTGAAGTGATGCTGTGACCGCGCGCTCTCCGTCATCTATCTCGAAAACGGTTCACCGTATGAAAAATTTTTTTAAACAAAATTTTTAGAGAATTTAGTATTCTACAATATTGATAATAAATACAAATAGCAAAAAACCCATAGGAAATGAGATATTTACAAAAAAAGCGCAAAAACCGATTTTTGTGACCTTTGACCTTGAAATTTAATAGATGCGTACACCCTACCATATGTAGGTTTTGAGACAACTTTTAGGGTGTCAATATACAAGTATTTACAGACTTACAGCTGGGTATCTCGAATTCCGAGGTGAACTTACTATAATGATTGGACTAATAGTGAAATTTTTGTTCGACTGGCAGGCGCCCTTGCTCAAAATTCGAACTTTTTGGAACTGTACACTTTTTCAGTGCCAGTGTCATTTTGGAGGTTAGGAATTATTTAATATTTTTAAATATATTACCATCTTGGGTTTTATTATTAGTGAGAATGGAAAATCTGAATCTGAAATTAATAGAGATTTGATTTTTGGTTTGGCAACTATAAAAAAATTCGTTAAAAATTTGTTAAAAATCTGAAATGTCAAGTGATAACTGTGTCAGTCGAATAACGATAAAGATGCCCCACACCAATGTCGAACTCTAGCTTGTGCTTGCTGTGTTCACTGCTAGATATAAATTTGAATTATAAAAATGCTGTCCAAAATCAATTCAGAACTAAAAACGCTTTGTCATCGAG